ATTAGTTGAAGTTAATAACCAACTAAGTCAATAAAATGACTTAGTCGGTTATTACTATGTATAACGAAAATGAAGAAGAGCTAAGAGCTCATCTTTCTCTCTTTTCTTCTTCAATGAAATCAAAGATCCATTGCTGATTGTTCTTGCATGTTATAATTCATCTGTAATTAGGTTAATTCAGTGCAAATTAACATGGTATCAGAGCAGCTATCGATCGATTAGTACTGCTGTATCACAAATCTGAGAACAGTCATTTTCAAAGCTCAAAAAGGTGCAACAATGGCGGACGATGAAATTGCTAAGCTACCTCACAATCATCCACTATATCTGAAGGATTCAGACTCACCGGGAACAGCTTTAATAGCTCTCAAACTCACAGGGCCAGAAAATTATGCCTTGTGGAGTAGATCTATGAGAGTAGCTCTCCTTGTGAAGAACAAATTAGGTTTTGTGGATGGAACTTGTCAGAAGACTTCATACAAAGGAGAGTTAGCAGCGCAATGGGAGAGATGTAACGCAGTAGTTTTCTCATGGCTCAGCAGCACTGTAGCGGTAGAATTAGTGCCGAGCATCATGTACGCCTCAAATGCGAGGAAGATCTGGGATGAATTCAAGGAAAGGTTTGACAAAGATGACTTGACTAGGATCTATCAAATTTCTGCTGATATCGCGGCTCTCAAACAAGGTACAGACTCCGTAACCTCCTATTTCTCAAAGCTGAAAGATCTATGGAATGAGTTAGATATCTTAGCTCCTTTACCCTCATGTGATTGTGAGGAATCACGTCCATATGTGGATCACCTGGTGAGACAAAGGCTTTTACAATTTTTAATGGGATTAAACGAGAGTTACAGTCATGTGAGGAGTGCAGTGTTACTAAAAAGGCCAATTCTTACTGTGAGTCAAGCCTATGCTGTTGTGGTACAAGAAGAAAGTCAGAGGGAATTAGGAGTGGTTGAATCGAATAAGGATCCAATGATTATGTTAGCAGGAAAAGGAAATCAATTCATGAAAGGGAAGAAAGTAGGGATAATATGTGAGCACTGTGGATACAAAGGGCATTTGAAGGAGAATTGCTACAAAATAATTGGATACCCTTCAGATTTCAAAAGTAAAAAGAAGAGTCAGTTTCCTGCTAGAACATATGCTAACAATGTTAATGGTGAGAAAGAAGTAATAATGAATGAACAACCACAAGGAAATTACATGACTGAAGATCAGTACAAGCATCTGGTGAACCTGCTGACAAAATCATCGGTAGAAGGAACTTCCAACAACACTTCAAGTTCAGCAAATATGACAGGTATAAAGTCACTACTATCTAATGCAAGATCATATGATTGGATAGTAGATTCAGGGGATCACACCATATTACTTTCTGTAAAGAAGTCTTAGAAAATTTAAAGAGAATCAACAAAGGAAATCATAGAGGAGTTCAAATACCCACAGGAGCTAGATCAGAAATAATACATACAGGTGATGCTTCTATAGGTTCAATGCAGTGCTTACCAGATTTGAAGAATAAAGTAAATAAAGATGTGCAGATGTTCTGTGAAATCTGTCCATTAGCCAAGCAAAGTAGAATAAGTTTTCCTATTAGTAGTCATAAATCTGATCATGTATTTCAGCTTATACATATAGATGTATGGGGACCATACAAAACTGAAACCTATGACAAGAAGCAATATTTTGCAACCATAGTAGATGACTATAATAGATACACTTGGATTTGTTTGCTGCATTCTAGGTGTGAAGTAATAGTGGTATTGAAAGACTTTTTTGCTCTTGTGAAAAATCAGTTTAATTCTTCCATAAAGGTGTTGAGATCTGATAATGGTAGAGAATTTTTCAATAAAAACTGCAATGAATTGCTTGCATCCTTGGGAATAGTTCATCAGAGTAGTTGTCCCTACACTCCATAACAAAATGGAGTGGTAGAGAGGAAACATAGACACATATTGGAGGTAGCAAGAGCATTGAAATTTCAAAGCAACATACCTGCTAGATTTTGGGGAGATTGTGTGAAAATTGCAGTCTACTTAATCAAAAAGATGCCCACAACAGTGTTGAGTGGTAAGTCACCCTATGAAAGACTTTATGGAAAACCACCAAAGATAGATCACCTTAGAGTATTTGGATGTTTATGTTATGCTAGTACACTGCCAAGAGGGGACAAATTTGCAGCAAGAGCTTTGAAATCAATGTTTATTGGATACTCTGAAGTGCAAAAAGGGTACAAGCTGTATGACTTGGAGTCAAATAAGTTCTTGGTAAGCAGGGATGTAAGCTTCAGAGAAGACATATTCCCTTTCAAAGGCTTACCCTTGGAGCATGAGAGCTTATTCATCCCTGATACTGGTGCAGCAACAACCACAAAAGATCAGTCTATCTTGACACCTATGGTTGATGATGATCCTGGAATAGCAGTTGAAGCAGAGATAGATACTTCACCAAATATGTCATTAAACGAAACAACTGATGACATGGAGATGCTGAGCTCAAATGGGAGGGATGGACAAGGTACCTCACAACAAGAAGAACATGAAGAGGTACAGCAATCAGATCATACATAGGAGATACATGAACAACTGCCATCAATTGTACAACAAACTACAGAGACTAGGAAATCTACAAGAACACAAAGACCAGCAGTGTGGCTCAAGGATTATGTGACTTCTTGCAAACCAAGAGGAGACTGTCTCTATTCACTTACAGATTATGTAAGCTATGACCACCTTCCAGAACACTACCAGTGTTATCTCAGCTCATTCTCAGCCCAAGTAGAACCAAGGAATTTCCAGGAAGCAACACAAGATGATAAATGGATAAAGGCGATGCAACAGAAGATTCAGGCACTAGAAGAAAATAAAACATGGGAAGTGGTAGATCTGCCCCCAGGAAAGCAGACTATTGGTTCAAAATGGGTCTATAAAATCAAACACAAAGTTAATGGTGAGGTGGAGAGGTTCAAAGCCAGGCTGGTGGCAAAAGGGTACATACAACAGGAAGGTTTGGACTATCATGAGACCTTTTCACCTGTTGCCAAGATGGTGACAGTCAGAACTGTGATCAATCTAGCAGTTTCTAAAGGCTGGTCTTTGTCACAAATGGATGTTAATAATGCCTTCTTGCAAGGTGATTTGTATGAGGAGGTGTACATGGCATTACCTCAGGGATTTCATAAGCAGGGGGAGTCTATTAAGGTCTGCAGGCTACTCAAGTCCCTTTATGGCCTCAAACAGGCATCAAGGCAATGGAATATCAGATTAACTGATGCCTTGATAGATGAAGGATACTCACAAAGTGCCTATGATCATTCCCTATTTACAAAAAGGACAGGTGCAGACTTGGTAATCATCCTTGTATATGTAGATGACTTACTGATTACTAGGAGCAACAATGCACTGGTGGAGGAGGCAAAGACAACCCTACACAAACATTCCAAGTTAAAAGATCTAGGTGAACTAAGATACTTCCTGGGAATTGAACTCATGAGATCAGATAAGGGAATTATGCTGAACCAAAGGAAGTATGCACTTCAATTGATCTCAGAGGTGGGAATGAGTGGTGCAAGACCAGCTAGTTCTCCTTTGGAACAAAACATCAAGTTGACAACTGTTGAGTATGACAAGCATGCAGGAGTTAAAAGTGATGAAGAGCTACAGGACATTGTAAGCTATCAGAAATTAATAGGCAAGCTGATCTGCCTCACTATTACAAGACCAGATATTTGTTTTGTTGTTCAGGTTTTGAGCCAGTTCATGCAGAATCCAAAGCAATCACATTTGGATGCTGCATTGAGAGTGGTTAGATACATAAAAGGATCACCAGGAATGGGGTTGTTATTGAAGAAAGGAGTAGTAGAAGAAATCACAGCTTATTGTGATGCAAATTGGGCAGCTTGTCCAAATACAAGAAAATCAGTGACTGGTTATGTGATTAAACTAGGAGAATCACTGATCTCATGGAAATCAAAGAAGTAGCCAACTGTAAGCAGGACTTCTGCTGAGGAAGAATATAGAAGTATGGCAGCAGTAACTTCAGAGTTGGTTTGGCTAGTAGGCTTGTTGAAAGAGCTAGGATTGACTATAAAGGAGCCAGTGGTGTTGCACTGTGACAGCAAGGCAGCTATGCAAATTGCAGCCAATCCAGTCTACCATGAGAGGACAAAACACATAGAAATTGATTGCCACTTTGTGAGAGAAAAGATCAAAGAAGGGTTGATTAAACCTCAACACATTTCCAATAAGGAACAGCTCGCAGATGTGATGACTAAAGGGTTAGGAGCTGAGCAACACAAGGTTCTAACATCCAAGCTGGGATTGTTCAATGTTTTCCACCCTCCAGCTTGAGGGGGAGTGTGAAATTATTTGTTAATTAGTAGCTAGGACCAATGTGGAAATAGTGAAACTTAAGGGTGTCATTTGATGATTAGTTGAAGTTAATAACCAACTAAGTCAATAAAATGACTTAGTCAGTTAATAGTGTATAACGAAAATGAAGAAGAGCTAACAGCTCATCTTTCTCTCTTTTCTTCTTCAATGAAATCAAAGATCCATTGCTGATTGTTCTTGCATGTTATAATTCATCTGTAATTAGGTTAATTCAGTGCAAATTAACAACTTGTGTTGAATTCAATTAAATATTGATGGAAACAAAACAAGCAGGCACATCAACTAACTCTTTTTAGATACACCGAAATTTGAGGTCAAATTGGGCACGGTTCCACTCCTATGCTATTTCATTCAGGTGTCATGTTCTTTCCAAAAATTCCTACTTCATTATCGTCGAAAAAATAAATTAGTGTTACCACTCAAATACTGTGATTAAAATTTAAGCCCCCATGAAAAGAAAGCCAACGACAAAATAGCTACTGCATTCTGACATATTTTATTGAAAATTAAAGAAAGGAAAACGATTAGGTAATTAATTGAGTACAATATATAAGGTTATAAATTGCGTTCAAACATTTAATATATAGACTATATTCCAAGGAACAATTTCCGAAAACATTCCTAAGGTTAAACAAATGATAGAAACATTCCTATATGTCTTTTACTTGTGATTAGTCACGGAGATACTTAGAATACAGATATATATACTGTATACTGTTGGTTGTCCCATGTATCTTGTGTTGCATGGTTGCAAAGTTTATACTATCAATTTTAATTTTCTGTAAGAAAACTTAGGTCTGTGATTCAGCAAAGTGTTACGAGAAAAATGAACTGTCAATTTTCGTTTTTTCTCTTAGGAATCTTTCTCGGCATAGTTCCCTCGTTTGCTGCTTATGGTATGGTCTCTTTTTCTCTCTTTCTTTCTTAGTTTTGTGACAAGTTATTATGGATTTGAAAAAGTGTGTTTCTTGACATATTCCCATTTGGATGTTGGTACTCTATATGTTTAATCAATAATGTATGTATGTAGCTACAGAAGGGGAGCCTTGAGCAACGGTTAAGTTGTCTTCATGTGACCTATAGGTCACGGGTTCGCCGTGGAATCAGCCACTGATGCAGTAGGTTGTCTACATCACACCCTTTGGTGTGCGGCCCTTCCCCTGACCCTGCGCGAACGCGGGATGCTTGTGTGTTCGCGGGATGCTTGTGCATTGGGCGCCCTTTTTTTATATATGTAGCTACAAGTAAAAGCTGATTTTTTTTTTTCATGGATTTTATTTCGATGCAGAGGGACCTATTTACGATCACTCTGCATATACTGAGGTAACATTTTACATGTTACTTGAAAATGATGGTCATTTTTTTAAGTTACTTTGTTCTGTTTTAGTGTAAATCAGTGCCTGAAGAACCGCTTTACAATGGTGGAATAATGAAGGATTATTGGACAATGGAAGATCAAGATATTCAACCTGAGAAAAATTCTTATTCCTTTGTCCTCAACAATCTCTCTGGTGATACCATTTATAGTTTCTCCAGTTATGTTGTTACAACTCTCTCATACTCTCAAATTTGTCATGAGAGTAATATTTATCAATTATCAGTGTTTGTGTTTGTTATAGGTTGGGTACAGATACTTGATGCAGATTCAGCAGTGATAAAGGCAAGCCTAAAAACAGCTAATGGTACAGTAAAATGTGTTGGAAATGTCATTGCTAGGTCAGGGTGCTGGTCATTTTTAAAGGGTGGATTTGTGCTTGATTTTCCTTCTTCCTTTGCTCTCTTGTCATTTCAGGTATTTGCCTTAAGAAGGGAACATTTAAGTATTGAATTTCTGCAACAGTTTTGAGTGGTACAAATGATAATGTCATGCTTTGGTGCAGAGATCAGATGGGCAAGTGTTAAATATTTCTATTACTAGTGTTTCTTTACAGCCATTTACTTATGAACAATGGAGAAGAAACCAACAAGACATGATCGATAAAGTAACTCCTGAAACTCTATGCTTTTCGTATTTGTATTCAGTTCCACACTACGGCATTGATGAGTACATGACTTCCAATATCTTTAGTTTTATGGTAACATTCTTTGACAGTGTGTACTTACACTAGTTCTGCTATGTTCAACCCCAGAAAAGAAAATGCACAGCAACTATACATATATCAGATGTGCAAGGAAATAGACTGCCCGGAGCATCAATCATAGTAGAGCAAGTGTCTAGAGATTTTCCACTTGGTTCTGCCATCAGAAACACAATTCTTGGAAATCCACCATATCAGGTAAAATGCTGATCAAATTTTCTGTCAAGACGTAGGAATGTTGACGATTAGCCTCATGTCGAAAATGTTTGAGTAAGCTTATAAGTTGGTTTCTTATAAGGACTTTTTGGCTTAGTTTATTATCAGTTTCAGCATTTCTACTGAAGCACGTAACTACTCATTTACAAAATCAGTTTCAGCACTTAAAAAATGTTTTTTCAGCATTGAGCTAACGAGCTCATATTAAAGTGTGTAAACAACTAAATCTTGTTACAGAAATGGTTTAAAGAGAGGTTCAATGCCGCGGTTTTTGAAGATGAACTGAAGTGGTATTCAACAGAACCACAACAAGGAGAAGTAAACTATACAATACCTGATCAAATGCTGGAATTCGTTCGAGCTAACCAAATCATTGCCAGAGGCCACAACATATTCTGGGAAGATCCAAGATTTGTTCCTTCATGGGTTCGTAATTTAACCGGTCCAGACCTTAAATCAGCTGTAAATTCCAGGATACAAAGTTTGATAAGTAAATACAAGAATGAGTTCATTAATTGGGATGTTGACAATGAAATGCTTCATTATGATTTCTATGAACAAAGACTTGGTACCAATACTAGTCTGGAGTTTTTCAAAACAGCACAGGATTTGGATCCTTTAGCTAAATTGTTTATGAATGACTATAATGTTGTAGAGACATGCTATGACATGAATTCAACAGTTGATGCCTATATTTCCAAATTGAGAGATTTGAAACAAGGTGGAGTATTTATGGATGGAATTGGCCTAGAAGGACATTTTACAGTACCAAATCCTCCCCTTATCAGAGCTGTTCTAGACAAATTGGCTACACTTGAACTTCCCATATGGCTTACAGAAGTTGATATCAGCAATACACTTGATAAACAAACTCAGGTCAGGGCCTCAAAATCTCTACAAAAAAGAGTTAATTTCACGTATGAACACTGAACTTTACTTACATCACAAGAACTATTTTTTGTTCATGGTAAAGTACTGAACTATGTGTGAATTGCTCAGAAAATAACATTGCTCGGAAGGTGAAATTTCGGGTGTCAGGGTTATGACATGTCACCCTCCACGTCCAGGGGCAGATCCACCTTGCGACCTATGGGTTCACATGAACCCAATAGTTTTTGTACAAACAGTGTATATTGTGCTCGAAACATTCACTAAATATCTATAAATGTTTGAATGTGAACTCAGTTACTATTGAGAATTTACTCGAGGTCGTTGTAGGAACCTATAAACATTAAATCTTGGATCCGCCTCTGCCCACGTCAGCATTTTGTCACTATATAATATATCAGAAGATAAAAAGGAAATCCACCATGTAAATGTAATCGATTACATTTTATGTTTTTAATTATTTGACGTGTAAAGTGACATGTCAGTTACTTTAACGCGACAAAAGATAGTTTATTACTTTTCTCTATTAGAAAAAGAGTAGTAGTTTGTTACTTTAATATTATAGTAGACAAAGTTCAGTAGCTATGCTTGATATTATCCCTTTTATGAATTTGATGGCAGGCTAGATATCTAGAGATGGTATTAAGAGAGGGATTTTCGCATCCAGGTGTTAATGGAATCATGCTTTGGACAGCATTACATACTAATGGATGTTATCAGATGTGTTTGACAGATAACTATTTTCATAACCTTCCTGCTGGGGACGTAGTCGATAACTTGCTGAAAGAATGGCAAACTGGGGTGGTGAATGGGCAGGCTGATGAACATGGCTCATTTAGCTTCTCTGGGTTTTTAGGTGAATACAAGATTACAGTCATATTTGGCAACAGAACAGCTATTTCAACATTCTCACTATACAGAGGTGATGAAACCAGACACTTAAATATTCAGTTGTGATGGTGTTACTAATTAGATGTAATTGTTATACAAGTTCACATTGAGTTTGACATGATCATGTGAAGAAAAGTTACAACATTTTGTAACACTTTGTCTGGCTTCAGATAGGTTTAAGGCATTACTAAAGAGTGAAGTTGCAAAATGAACTCAGTTATTTTTAACTCTGCACAGTTCACGAAGTTGGATCATGACATGTTTATTGACTTAACCCTACGAGTTGAACCCAAAATGATTTGTCAAAAGAAGAATTAACCCAAATAGCCGCCCGCCCAACTGTTTAAACTACAAATAGCCAATTAAGGTATAATAGATCTTTAACTGTGTATAAATATGTATAACCAATATATAATGTATGTAGATGGCTAGAAAAAGTAAACGGTGAATATGATGGGCTATTTATGTAAAGATCCCTTGTCAAAATATCGAGTCAAATGGGCCAAAACAATGTAACACGACGGGTCAAAGTCCAAACCAAGCATGCAAAATCAACTCTTGAGACTGGAATTTATAACAATTTAGAAGAACTTGGAATTGTGTCAATTTGGAGACGGATAATTCTGTTAGAAGAATTATGTCAAAAGGCAAACAAGAAAAATGAGAAATCAGTCATGTTGAACGGATTAGGTTACAACCCATTTTGACCAAGCTAATGTTGATCTAAGCAAACTTTGATTATATTCAATTTTAACTCATCTATTAAAATTGTTCAAATTTGGCTCAACCCATCCATTTTTTCTACCCCGGTTTACCTGTTCGACCAAAAAGTGTTAGACCTTTTGATTGAATAAATTAAATCGGAAGATTTGAGGCAAATCCTAGCCAAAGATAGTTTATCCTAGATCTGAAGTAGGAGATAAGAATAAGCAGGCATAGTTGAACATATAATTTAACTATAACGATGATTGAATCCCGTCGCATAAGAAAAAGATGATTTTGATGATATCAAATTATAACGAAGAATACATAGATAAAGAAGGGTCACCGTTTTTGAATAAGGTTAACCCCCATACCTTTGATACAATGCCATTAATGATGGATACTGAGGATCTAAGCTTCCTTTCTCCTTTCTTCTTGTCTGTTGGGAGTCAGAGATGAATTATCTCTCCTCCTCCCTCAAGATATGTCTACATGTGTACCTGAGTTTTTTTCCAGCCCCCCCTCAGTTACTCTCTCCTACAACATTTATACAAAGATACTTTCTTTACCCAACGGTCCTTAACCGGAATACTTAAGTTCTTGGAATATCCTGTGGAATATTTCCCTAGAAATATTTAAGTGTTAAACTAGCCGTTCAGGCTGAATGGAGTGCTCGACCTCGGCCGCAGCCGAATCACTCGTAAGTGTATCGCTTCTCATACGTGACCTCGGCTCGGTTAGCTCTTAGTCGTTCTCCCTTAGGTGAGATTCTTCTGTTCAGATTGACCTATACATTACCCTTGCTACAGTTGGAAGGGTTAACCCATCCTTTTTTTTCACATATTACAAACAACATAGTAACTCATACAAGTCGATGTAATGCAATTATCAATGCAGTAAAGCATAAGACATAGCAGACAAAAGTAATAAAAGCCATGCTTGTGATTTCCGCAAAGTCAATTTTATCGCCCAATGCTGGCCGACCATCTTTTCTCCCTTTTCCAAATTATAACTACGTAATTTCTTCCCTATAATTTTTAGAGCCTCAAATCAAGGGTAAAGAATATCGCCAATCCAAATCTCAAGATATATGCTACTTAAATAATTACAAACCTAACACCAACAAAATCTTGGATAATGAGAAGGGGGCCGGGGGAGAAAGAATACTGCATTACATATACACATTGAAAAGTGAAAATATGGCCAAGTACAACAATAAAAAGAAGAGAAAAAAAGATTCATAGCTAAAAAAAACATTAATTTATGGAAAGTGGTGGCTTACAATCTGGAGGAATCTATCAGCTTTACTAGACAAAAGGCAAAAAACCCCACTCTCATTACAGCTACAAGAAAACAAATAAAACCAAAGTTGCAGCCAAAGCACTGAAATGCAAAGCTGTTGGATAGAGAACTCTTGTGGATTCTCCCATGGCTAATCCAGCTAAATATGACCCATCTGTCAGCATAGCTTGAGACCCGGATCCGGACTGCGTTTCGGTTCCTCCCCCATATTCTGTTCCGGATCCTGACCCGTATTGTGTTCCTGACCCGTACTCTAACCCGGCACCCGATCCGGAAACCATTTGGCCTGAACTTGACCCTGTTCCTGTTGCAGGGTCCACAACTCCTGTCCCATCATAAGACCCGCTATCACTGGGTGTTGTTGTAGTAGGTGTCGTATCTTTTGTAGATTTTTGACTGCACCATAACATAACCAAATAATGCTCATTAGCTAAATGTCAATAAAATGTGCTGCCATCATTTACTGCAGCATTTGTCAGTTACTCTCGTGACCAAAATCATTGCATTTCTTCTCTTCAATTAATGTTAACACCAACGTTAGATGCAAACTAATGGAGTACGAAAGATGGAATTTAACATAGAAAGACACCCTTAGAAAGAAAAGAATTTAAATGTTCAAAGAACTTTAACAATCATTGTATATTTACTCATTGTAACCCACAACTTGAGTACATTGTGTCTTTGACACCTAGACTGCCAGTATTAGGGTTGCTTTAGTATTCGGTTTTTTAGTATCCAGTCAGCCATTACTTTTGCTATTGCTACTGCTTTCTCCATTTATTTTTTCTCTAATTCTTATATTATCGATATCATTTTTCTGGCCTCTTGTTGTTATTTACTTGTTCCTATTGTTACTCTTGAGCCGAACGTCTTTCGGAACAGCCTCTATACATTTTAACCTCCCCAAATCTCACTTGTGGAATCCCACTGGGTTATTGTTGCAGTTGTAACCGACAACTTGATACTATTTATTTATTTTTATGATCGATTATATGTAGTTTTCCAAAAAATTTATGCAATGTGAATAAGTTTTGATTGAAAGTGTATTTTAACTTATTATAACAAGCAGCTTAATTAAAGTCTGATTTCATAATTTCTAACTTCGAAGGAGTTATAATTGTTGTAGCAAGCAGCTTGATTATTAATTTTACCTTTTAGCTAAAATTTTGTGGGATATATACAGGAATAGTATTTTACCTTGGGGTTGAAGGGCAAAATGTGACCGTATAATCTGCGCCACTGCAAGTGAAAGTGCTAGTAGGATCATCATAAGCGTAGCTATACGATCTCGGGCAAGCAGTTTTGAACATCTGCGAGTACATCGACGGTTTACAAGTCGCCGGTGTATTATACGCGCCGCTGCAGCAATACTCCGGCTTGTTAAACGCCTCACACGCGCTCCTACACGCTTCTCCACCGCCACTCCTCAGTTCCGTCGGGCAGATTTGGTTCAGATCCGTAACACAACCCGTCGTCGCACACATACCCGACCCGCCCGAAGCTTCGACCACCATGGGTAAATTATACCCGTCAACTAAGCTCACGTCGTAAAAATCCTGCCCACCAGTTCCGAGAGTAAACTCCGCTAGAGTCGCCGGCGGAGCAGCTCCGGCGCCGTTGCATTCTACTTCGCCGGAGCCACAATCACCAGTTCCGCATGAACCCGACCCGGATCCGTCAAATGAGCAACTTGTTCTGCCCCAAAACCTGCCGGACCAACCAGTGGGTGCAGTGAATGTACGTGAAGAGTCTTGCGGAAGTTCAAATCCAGTGCTTTGTAGAGTTGGACTACCTGCATTAGCAAGAATACCTGGCCATACTGTGTACTCACATTTGTTCACAAAGGTAAATGTAGCCCCTAATACACCTGAAAAAGAGAAAAAACAGCAACTTTAATATCACACAATTGTAATGTTGCATTACACAAAATAATATAACATAAAAATTAGATTTCTATTTGTTTACCTTTCGACAGAATGAGGAAAGCAAAAGACAAGCTAAGAAAGAAAGAAGATGAGAGATCCATGTGGGTATTTTTCTAATTCCTTTAGCTGTTGAATACTAGTAATGCTTTACTAGTTCAACAAAAATAAAGGGTTTAGTTGTTAGATAATAAAAGAGCAAAAAGCAGAGTAATGAGAGAGAGCAATAGATGATAGCAGGAAGAGGACGAGAGAGTGGGGGTGATGTTGAGCTTTTTTTGTTGCTCTTCTCTCTGTTTCTGCTGCAGGTGATAGTGATAAGGGAATAGTACTAGCAGATAAGAGAGTTAAAAAAATTTGAGAAATGGGTGAGTGTAGGGTTTTCAGTGTTCATAAAACAACAAAAATGATTTTTTTGTAAGGAAAAGAAAAAGAAATGGGAGATGTAAGGAATGGTAATGTCAGTTGGAAGATGAATAATTCAATACCATTGAGACTTGAGAGTATAAAAATTTATTATTTTGTGTAGAATCTTTTATGTGCACTATGCTTTATGTAACATTTTTTATTGTATAATATTCTCGTTATTTAATACACAATATGCGATAAGGTGAAGTAATTTAATGCTACTATAGTCCTATGACCTAGATTACTGGACAGTTGGGACGAGATGTTTCTTACCCGGCGTTAAATATGGACTGGCTAGCCCATTTGGGCCTACTTTATCATCAATAACTTAGGGGTATTATCAAGCCCGTATCACAAACTATTTACGTTTAGTAATCGAAATAGTGTATAAAATTTATATAATTTTTGTATATAATATACAAAATATGTATATATATAAAAAATATATATAAATTTTATACATTTTTTCGCTACAATGTCATTTTTCGAATAACTTATGGAAAAATGATATTGTGAATGAAAATATATAACAAGAATTGACAAATTTCGAGTCTTAAATTGAATGTAGCAAAGACAGTCTAAAAAGATTGGTATTGTATAGCCATATAGTAAAAATACCTACTTCCCCATCTGTTCTCTTTCCGTAACCCCTCTCTTCCTCTCTTTATTTTTCAGTTTAGTTCTCAACAAACATCGTTAGTTTTTTATTCGACTAAAGAGTAGTAGTATGATACTTCAGTTTAATTTACATCTTTTTAATAGCCTGAGTGTCTTTTCTTCCTATCTTATTGCATAAATTGTGTTTATACAATGAAGGTGTAGTCGAAGGAAGTAGTTTTCACCGTGAATACTAAGGGGTCATTTGATATGGAGTATAAGAATAGTGCTGAATAGATATATTAGTAATGTCGGAATTAGTAATGCTGAAATTATTTATGCTGGAATTAGTTCTTATCGAGTGTTTGATTGGTGTATTAAAAATAGCATGCATTGCATAATTTTTTTTGAAATTGTTTGAAAAAAATCCCTCTACGTGCGTTAGAAAGGATTTGAAAAAAGGTTTTGAAAGGGCAGTTCTATATTTATAATGCTTATTCATGTATTAAAAATTATGGTATTGCTAATCCCATAATTTATTATGTATAAGAATAGTACTGAATAGAGTATATAACTAATATCAAAGCTAATACATATTATTAGGGAAAAACACTATCAAACATGAAATTAATAATATCAAAGCTAATACAAATATTATTTTCCCTAATACATCCTACCAAACGACCTCTAAATAGATTGGACTATATCTAGGCCTAGTTTGAATTTGAAAGGTGGATTTTAATAAAGAGATTGTCATGGAACTTCTTTTTCTACTCTTGGAAGAGGAAGAATACATGATCCATGGAATTTGTTTTCGGATCTTCGATTCCCACCTATACACAGTTGAATAATTAATTAATTAGAGGGAATCTAAAAATTAGATCTTCAACTACTTCCGAGAGGTCGTGTGTGTTTTAAAGTAAATTACACTACCTACGTAAGAATTTACAAATTATAAATCTCGAACTCGTATATACTTACAATAGAAGAAAATAAAATACTTTTGATGAGATATGAAATTTACGATTGTTAGATTACAACGAATAAGTCGAAATTCCAATCGATCCCTTTTTGTGATGGCCTTGTTTATAGTATGGACAATGGAGTAAATAATACTTCAACAAAATTTGATTCTGTCCAGAAGGAGAATAAAGATACAGATAGAGTGAGCTTTACACCTTTAGAAGTTAGAGCACATGTTTCCACCCAATAGTATTATAAAAAGGCCAATATTACTATAAAGGAATTTAACTTTTTTAAAAACAAGAGAAAGAAAACGAGCAACTATGTTTCCATGAAGTAGAATAATGAACATGAAAATGGATTTGATAGGTGCATTTGGGGATAGCTTATGGCCACATAGGTGGACGTAGAGTTGCTACACCAAACATAAATTTATGTGTGAAATTTTAATAAATCATAAAAAATATTGTATATGGTCGAGATCAGGTATGCCCGATCTCCCAGGCTCGAGGGGTCGCCTTAGGCCCGAATTCAGGTAAGGTCGAGTTCGAGCTCGATGGACAAGACTCGAGCTCGAAGACAGAGTGCAATGCCCGAAGATTGAAGTACGATGGATATCGAAGCCGAGTATGCTCGACCCCGAAATAATACCGTTATGGATTTGTAACATAATGAGAGAGATTCCTTCCACATCCCTAAAATCATGGCGCAAATCCCGGAATAGAATTGTACGATTCCGTACTAGGCGGTTAGACAGCTGTCCCAGTAAGATTCCTTACTGTAAATGGAAATGTACCTTATTTAGGGCTCCCCTATTATATAAAGGGGACCCCAATCATTTGTAAACATCATTTAATTATTGACAAAGTATATACTCTCTACTTTTCGTTCATTGTTCATCAGAATTATCCTTTAGCTTTATTGTTCTTACTTTATTGTTCTCGATTCATCTCAAGGTCACTAAGCTCGAGGTCGATATTACTTAGTAAGCACTGGTTTGATTTCATTCATTTCTTTCATTTATACTTTATACTTCTTGATTATTAATTGGTATTGAACTGAATCACATATCTTTAAAATCACAAATCAAATTTAATTGTTACTCGTATTTTCGAGGTAAACAGTTTGGCGCCCACCGTGGGGCTAAAGATAATAGTGATTATTTCATTACTGATTCTCATACGTTATTTTTACACTTTTTCTTGTCAATAATTTTTTGATTCTCAGGATTAAACATGTCAAACTCGCAAAACGCACATGTTCATGACAACGAAGGTCTTGGATTTCATAGGGAAAACAACAATGTAGGGGTCTCTGTACCACCAATAAACCCTGGGTAAGTGCCAAATGTGGAATCGGTTGATGTTAGTTCGCACATTGCTTTAAATGCAGATTTAGGCGCAGACCCCGGAGGAAGCGTGCGCAGGGAAGCCCGATCCGGGGTCCAAGCAACACAAGGTATCGGAGATGGGGGAGTCAGCCTTCAAGTTATATTCGAGATGCTGCAAGCTCAGCAGATTTCCATCGCTCAACTTCAGAGTCAGAATAGAACTCCGAGTATAGCTGAACCAGAAAACACTCGACGTGTTGAACCGGCGCCAGAGAGGTCAAACGAAAATAGCTCGCGGACTGACCCTACTATTATGAGAATGCTCGAAGAGCTCACCAAGAGGATAGAGTCCGGGGGAAAGAAGATTGAGGACAATGACAAAAAGGTGGAGACTTATAACTCCCGTATTAATCAAATACCAGGGGCACCCCCGGTCTTGAAAGGTTTAGATGCCAAAAAGTTCATACAAAAATCATTCCCTCAAAGCGCGGCTCCGATGCCCATTCCTAAAAAGTTCCGCATGCCCGATATACCCAAATATAACGGGACAACTGACCCTAATGATTATATTACCTCATATACTTGTGGGATTAAAGGAAACAACCTGAACGATGATGAGATCGAGTCCGTGTTGTTGAAAAAATTTAGAGAAACTTTGTCGAAAGGAGCCATGATTTAGTATCACAACTTGTCTCCTAACTCTATTGATTTGTTTGCTATGTTAGTAGACGCCTTCGTAAAAGCACACGCCGGGGCCAAAAAGGTGGCGACGAGGAAATCGGACGTCTTCAAGATAAAACAAAGGAATGTCGAGATGTTGAGGGAGTTCGTGTCTAGGTTTCAGATGGAGCGAATGGAATTGCCACCGATCTCGGATGACTGGGCAGTAGAAGCTTTTATGCAGGGTTTGAATTAAAAGAGTTCGATTCATCTCGACAATTAAAGCAGAACCTGATCGAGTATCCAGCTGTGACGTGGTCAGACGTGCATAATTGTTATCAATCAAAGATCAGGGTCGAGGACGGCCAGTTGGGAGCCCCCTCGGGTTCAGTTCATCATAATAGAACGGCAGCCAAACCCCCGAGGGATACGGACAGGGAATCGAGGTCAAACAAAGAACGGTATCAGCCGTATGTCGATCGTAGAAACAACGGCTCGGGTCGTAACGCTCCTCGGAATGATCAGAGAAATGATCAAGGTCAAAGCTCTCGGGGACTCATGAGTAAGAATGGGTTCGATAAACACACTGACCCCGCGGAGGCACCTCGATTGTCAGAGTATAATTTCAGTGTAGACGCATCGGGGATTGTGTCAGCTATTGGAAGAATCAAAGATACCAGGTGGCCCAGGCCTATACAAACCGATCCTTCTAAAAGGAATCCAAACTTGATGTGTAAGTATCATGGCTCACATGGCTATAGAACCGAAGACTGCAGGCAGCTAAGGGAGGAGGTAGTTCGATTGTTCAACGAGGGTCACCTTTGAGAATTTCTCAGTGATCGAGCTAAGAACCACTTCAGGGAGAGAGATGCAAGAAAAAATGAGCAGGAAGAACCACAACACGTAATCCACATGATCGTTGGCGGTGTCGATGTCCCACAAGGACCTGTGTTCAAACGCACTAAGGTGTCGACCACCAGAGAAAAACGAACTCGGAGCTATGTGCCCTAGGACGCCCTATCGTTCTATGACGAGGAAGCAGAAGGCATATCTCACCCGCACAATGACGCCCTGGTAATCTCTATTCTTTTAAATAAAAAATTCAAGTTAAACGTGTTCTAGTGGATCTAGGTAGCTCAGCAAACATAATCAGATCAAGGGTCATAGAACAGCTCGGCCTACAGGATCAGATTGTACCTGCATCCCGGGTCTTAAATGGCTTCAACATGGCAAGTGAAACAACAAAGGGGTAGATAATCCTACCAGTAAAAGTAGCCGAGACCATACAAGATACAAAATTCCATGTCATCGAAGGCGACATGAGGTATAATGCGCTCCTCGGGAGACCATGGATACATAACATGAGGGCGGCACCTTCAACTCTTCATTAGATGATGAAGTTCCCAAAGGAGGATGGTGTGAAAACGGTCTACGAAGAGCAACACGCTGCAAAGGAAATGTTTGCACTCGATGAAGTGACGCCGATACCAGAGCCTTCAACCTCGGAGAAGTCGAGCATCAAAGGTAAGCA